GACGGGGTCTCAATTTCGTGGCCATTGATAAGCTGTATCATCGGTGCTTGGAATGTAATAAGCGCATCGCAATGCACAGTCGGGAGAATCTTCTGAAGCACAAGTTCACCCATTTGCCATACCGTTGCACCAAGTGCTACATTTGTAAGCGCGAGTACAAATACAGGCAGGACCTGATGGTGCATTTACGCATGGTGCACTGTGACGAAGTGGTGGCCATGATGCGCGGCGGTGATGCCAGTGCCGGACGCAAGACACGTGTGCGGGAGCCGCGCATTGAGCAGCATCACGGACTCTACGGGCCGGAACATGACGATGACGACGGCATAGAGGTCAAGAATGAGCTGATGTTCGAGGGGGAGGGCGGCGTGCTGACTGCTGATGAGTCCAACATTGGACCGGATGATGAGCACAGTCGCAGCTCCAGTCAAACGGCTAAGAAGAAGCGCGGCACTGCTGTGGCTGGCAATGGGAGTGGAAGCGGTGCAGCAGACATATGCGAAGATTATATACATTATATGTGTCCTGACTGCGGCACCGATTGCGAAACGCACGCCCAATGGAGTCAACATATTGAATTTGTGCATGACTATGTCAGTCGGCGAGGGTTGAACTTTTGCTGCGTGGACATGCAGATGCAGTGCCTCGAGTGCAAGCAGGTAAGCAATACCTAGGTATTGGAAAAATTTCCACTTATAATCCTTTCCTGTGTTTAGTTTGTCATTCCGAATACGATAAAGACGCTGCGGGCGCACAAGTTTAGCCATTTACCTCAGCCGGAGTGGATGCGCTGCAAGCTGTGCTATCAGGGCTATACGGAGCATCATGAGCTGCTCACGCATCTACTGAAGCAGCATAATTTGGAAACCCTAATTCCTGAAAAGGAGGAGGAGCAGTCCTTGGCCAGAGCCGGTGCGGGTGATGAGGGCGAGGATACTCCAGGCATTGGCGGCGATGAGGAATCCCAGTTGCAATGGGACGATGTGCCGCGTCGTGGCGGTCGCATTGGCAGCGATGATATGTACGAGCCGCATATTGATTATCTGTGCCCGCAGTGCGGCAGGGAGTTTATAGAGAAGAAGCACTGGCGTACACATGTTGTGCAGGTGCACGGCATGAACGATCTGGCCAAGTTGAACTTCGAGGTGATCAACGATCGCCAGCTGAAGTGCACCGAGTGCGATAAGATCATAACGAATGCCTATGGCATACAGAATGCCCAGCAGCACAGGATAACGCATTTGCCCTACAAAGCGTACGCAAGATGTCGTAAATGCCATAAGTCCTACACTGATCGCAAGGGTCTGGTCAAACATTTGGCCACATACCATCGCGTCGGCTATGAACCACGCAAAGCGGGCGCCGTACTAGGCACAGGCACACCATCGATCATGGCCTTAAACCCAGCCAAATCACAGACGCCGCGCAAACAAATTGTTACTGTAGCTAACGAAACCTATGAGATTATATATTTGGATGAGGAGCAATCGTCGCCAAGTAATAATAATATTAATGAGGAGAATGACTTTGGAGAGCAAATGCAGGCGGATGATGATGATTATGCCATCATAGGCAGCACCAGCGGCAGCATGGGACGCCAGCTGCTACCAATTGCTGCTGCTTCCGAGATACCGAATCCCAATCGCTACAAATGCGTGGACTGTGGCTCACTGTTTGCTACGCAGGCGGCGCTGAAGACGCACATCAGCGAGGAGCATGATTTCATGGACACACAGTATAGCGCCAACAAGTTTGATAATGCGGAGACCTTAGAGGAGGCAGCTCCAGCTGCGCCTGTTGCCGTGACGACAGCAGCCACTGCTATGCCCGTCAAGAACAGCGCCGGCGGCTCTACCATAGAACAGAATTATATATTCCTGTGCCCGTCATGCGGCAAGGCCTACAAGACGCAGTTCGAGTGGCGACGTCACATCAACGAGGAGCACAATTTTGACAAGCGACAATACTTAAATATGCGCCAGCTGGACAAGTATCGCTATCAGTGCACTCTGTGCAAGGACATTGTGTGCAATTCGAAGCTGAAAGGCCTGCAGGATCATCATTTTCGTCATTTGCCTTATCGCCTATATCTGAAGTGTCTGGTGTGCGGCACCTGCTACAATCATAAGCCCAACATTGCGGCACATCTTCGCACACGACACAACATTTACGAACGCGAGTCCTTGTGGCGTGAGCAACCACCCAAGACCCAGAATGGCTACGAACAGCTCAAGTACAAGGATAAGGATAGGGACATGCAGACCACGGCAGGCACCAGCTCAGGATCACCAACGCCAGGCAGCAGTCGCACGCTCAAACCGCAACCGGGCGTGTTACCCACGCGTCCCGCTGGCCTCAATACGCTGGAGGACAGCATCTCGTATCATAATGCCGTGGATCTGGACTTTATTACCTACTATTGCCCCAAGTGCAACAAGAACTTTGATTCGCACGCCTTCTGGCGCAAACACATTGTCGAGCAGCACAACTATAACAGTCGGCAGGGTCTGAACTTTCGCCAGATTGACAACCATCACTATTTGTGTCTGGAGTGCTATAAGCGTGTGACTGTGACTCACACCAAGGGGGCAATTGGGCAGCTGCAGTCGCACAAGTTTCGGCATTTGCCGTATCGCTCCTTTAAGTGCTTGACCTGCAGCGGCGAGTTTGTGCGCAAACAAATGTTCTTCAAGCATTTGAATCGGGACACCAATCGATGTGACAACAAGTCAATGAGTTGCCAAGATAATGATGAGGATACAGGGGAGCAGCCGGACAGGCCAATTGCCATGACCGTTAAGGCGGCACTTGATGGCGCCACGTATCGTTTGATGTGCCCGCAGTGTGGTGATGGCTTCACCACCAGCAGCAAAGCGCTCTGGCGAGAGCACATAAATATTTATCATGGTCTGGGCAAGCGCGATCTGCTGCATATGCGTAAACTGGGCGAGGAACTGTATCGCTGCACAGACTGTGATGAGCAGCTGCAGACCAAACAGATGCGCGTGCTGCAGCAGCATCGCTTCCAGCATTTGCCCTATGCCGCCTACATACGCTGCCAACTGTGCGAACAGCAACAACCGCCGGATGGTCTGGCGCATGGTGCAGCCGCTGCCGGATTACATAGTATGCGCGAGCTGCAGCAGCACATGCGAACCCAGCACCCCAATGTGGCGGAGCATGATGACCAAATGCAAGCGCTGCTGGAGGAGGAGGAGGTGGAAGAAGTTCAGCAGGCGGTGGATAACAGTGAAACGTCAAACAATGGTCCATATATGCCATTACCGCCGCATTTGCTGGACGATGACGTCGAGGACATGGAGTTCGAGGAGCAGTATCTGCTGGGCTAAGCTCTGGCCAAATCTTGCCAACCCAGTGATAAACAGAATCTACAAGTCTACCAACAGGGGGCACACTCACAATTAAATATATATCTAGACACATATATATATTTCTAACTTAAGTATTTATAAATAGTTTATATCACTCATTTCACATACACATTGTAATTTCATCTAGAATTGTCAACTAAATAATTAAGTATATTTACTCAGAAGGTATTTATTATTTTCCCCTAATCCCACTCAAGTACCCCAAATCGTTAATTCTAAATTACTTAGGAGTTCGTAACGTTTAACTTATCTATGAAATTATTATGAGATTGATAAATTTACTACTGTATATTTATAAGAAAGCGTACAACCTTAACTTTGAGTCTGGAATGTAGTTACACGATTAGTATGATTCCCATGATACAGTGATCGCTCGATAAGTAGTTCAATTTTAGATGTGGTTTTAATTTGCATAAAATTGTGATTTTTGGCACAAGGAATAACAATTAGTAATATTACATTCTGTTCCTTCAATTGAAAGACAAAGGTAGGACAATTGAAATTATTATTTTTTAAATGCAGAGTCTTGCCATTTTCTATTCTGGACCATGCTAAATGGTGGGAGTTCCCAATTCGGAGCGAGCACTGTATCTGTTTATTTTAGTGATTTTCGGCTAAGGCACCTTTAAGTTTCCTTCCGCCCTTTGTTTAAATTTTATCTGTATCTTTTCGTTAAAATACTACAAATAAATAAGAAATTGATCATGACATACTCGAATCTTCAGTTTTATTATTGTGAACTTTTAAGGAAATGTTAAAAATTAGATTGATATTTTCGGACCAATGGGTTTATCAAAATTTATCAACAAATGTTGATATTATATATGCTGTATTTACCAGCTGTAATTTAAAGTGGCGCCAATGTTAACAGTTTTATGTAATGTTAAAAGCTTTAAGCATGAATGGATGGCGCGAAAAGTGAAACTTTCACAAATTGTAATCATATTTAAAGAAAACGAGAAAGAAAGGCTATCTTCGGCATGCCGAAGATCTAATACCCTTGCAGACCCAACCTTTTCATAATGCTTATAGTGATTTGCCCGTATCTAAGAAGCACAGGGTAAATAGTTAATGCCGAGTTTGGGTAAGATATCTTGAAAAACAAAAAAGGTTTTTAATCAAAAACCCAGTTTTCGACCGATCGTTCCTGTGACAGCTATATGATATAGTGTACCGATCTTAATACGATTTTGCATTTATATGAAGAGCATAGTAAAGTTAAGATATCTTGAAAAACAAATTGTTTTTTCATACAGCTTAATTTTCGACCGATCGTTCCTATGGCAGCTATATGATATAGTGGTCCGATCTAGCTGGTTTTGACATATGTTTTGCGTGCAACAGAAAGAGGGAGTTCTGCAAAGTTTCATTAAGATAGCTTTAAAACTGAGGGACAAATTCGCATAGAAATAGACAGACGGACAGACGGTCAGACCGTCAGACCGCTATATCGACTCGGCTGTTGATGCTGATCAAGAATATTACAAGATTATATACAAGATTGCTGCCTGGTAACGAAATAATCGATGTAACTTTTTAAGTACAGGCATCCAAGCTCAAATTGTTTATGAAATCGAACGACGCATGTTTTCTGTATTTTCATTAGCTATAGTATTTTCATTTATTTTTTCATTAATAATTTCGAGTAACGACCCCCTATAACTACCCCACAAAAGTGTTTTTCAATTTAATATGTGTATGTGTGTATGTATATATCAACGACATATTTGCATTTGTTAAAAACATACCGAAAAAGAAGTTAAACATTTAATAGTAAAATAATACATATATATATAAATCAATATATATACATAGTATATTTGTAATACAGATCGAGAATTCATGTGTCATTGCAGCTGTCAATGAAATGTGATTGTAATTAAATTTAATATGATAATAATACGATATGTTTACGGTTTAATAGAACGCTAAGTCTAAAATTGATTTCTCGTTTGTTTTTGTTTAGTTTTATGTAGTACAATAAATAATAATAAATACTTTTGAAAAGCATAAACAAATTGCACGCACATAATAATTGCAACTACTTGTTAAAATAATGTAAATTAATAAAATACAAATTAGAAAAAAATATTTTCCTTTTTAATATTAAAAAAACGGTTGTTTTCTTTTGCCAAATACATTATCGTATGTGCATGGAATGAAAGTTAGCTAATTGACTGTTGTTTAAACAGTTTTTCATTGTGGTTTTCCCCATAATCGTTTCGAAGTTTACATGTCAGTTCCTTTTCTTTTGTGCACGCCATTCTCATTATTCGACTTTGCATTTAGATTTGTTTTTTATATAATATATGAAACTTATGTATTGTGTGTGTGTTTCCTTAGTAACAATTTTGTTGTTGGTTTTCTATTCTTATTGCGGAGCCTCACAGCGTGGGCATATTGCGTCTGCCATTGCTGCTGCTGGTGCTGGCATCTCCGCTACCCGCTGCTCCGTCCTGTTGCGCCTTTTGCTTGGCACGTCGCACCTTCTGACGCGTATGCTCTATTTGAAAGTCCTCGACACGCAAATTGAGCCGCATCATATTGTTTATGACGAATTCCTCCTCCATAATGTGTTCGGGCGGGGAGCGCAACACTGCGAGCGTTTCACACAAACCTGTGCACGTTTTGCGCACCTTGTGCCGGCTGAGCGAGGCGCCAATGATTACCAGGGCCACCTTGAAGATGACGCGTATGCCCTCGGCGAGAAAGCAATCCCAGACACGCAAGAGCGTCTCCCAGGGCAAGGTGCGAGTCATGGCGCACAGAAACCAATCGGTCATATAAAGCAGCGGCTCCACTTTGTGCTTCTGCAGATGACGATAGACGGGTGGGCAGGTTTTCTTAAGCAGGCCCTCCAATATGCCCGCATCGTTTTGTATCACCTCGAGACCAGGTATAAAATAATCCTGCAAGTAACTGCACGGGAATGAGACTGTAGTTTTAATTGAGATTTTTGAGTTGGACTACTTACACATCACATACGCTTACAAATACCCAAAAGGCATCCTCTGCCGGCAAATGCATCAATAGGAATGCGGCTATTGGCGCTTGCGCTTGACAAAAGCCCACCTTGGGATTATATATCGAATAGGCCTTCAGCACATTAAATAGCTCGATTTGGCCCACCTTCTGCTCGTCGAGAAACATTTCGTGAAACGGAAACTGACGATGCTTATCTTTTTTGATCTCCTCTATGGTCGAGGGATTGCCCGGATTCTTGAGCAGCTCCACGTATACATTCGGATTCTTTTTCTTCAGCAAATACGCGCCGGATAGATAAAACCAAGCCCTGGGACGCACAGATTTAGGTATGCCCTTGCGGCATCTGTCACGTATCTGTGAAAACAGTGGGATTTAGATTAGGTACATATTGGGATTTTTGTTTTGTATGGCTCACCAACCTTTTTATAGTTCTTGGACATATAAATGGACCAATTCTCAATCATATAAAGCCATTTCTTTTCTCGCGCTATGATTTGTGCTTTGGATAGCGGCTCCTTGGGTTTGTCGGTGCGCTGGAATCCGCCATAGAAACCATTGCGATCGGGGCAACTGGACACGGTGGAGCATAGCGAGATGGTATCCAAAGCGCGCGGTGGCGTTGCCATCTGTGTCGAATGTGCTGGGCAGAACGATATCAAACTAAATCCATAAATTATTACAAAACTAAAATACGCCCACATTAAAGCATGTAAGACTGAACTTATCGATATTGCTCGGCAAGAATATGCGCTGTATTAAGCTGCCTATTAAACATATTGGTTGATGCACACATAACAACTCAAAGAATTCATTTCTTCTAATCAAGGCTGTTTAAAATTTCATTCATTTGATTATAATACAGTTAAATATAATGTTTAAAAATGTGTATGTTTACATTTGCCTAATGTGGATTTGTTGCAGGAGCTTATTATGCCTGGCTTATGCAAGGGTACAGGGTATAGAAAGAAAAACAGCTTAGCTTATTTCTAAAAGCGTGTAGGTGGACTGAGAGAGCGACTATGGATATATTTTGTGTGTAAGTCAAAAAAAAAAGAGAGAGAGGGAAAGAGAGAGAGGTTGCGCACCCAAGTACTAAAACATAAGACAATTTGCATTAATAATCTGATGTTTGTATCTGCACAATGAAAAACTGCACAATTAAGTGCGATCAACGTGAGTTTGACAATCTCTCAATCATTCTCTCAATTTGGTTCGTTTAGCACAATTTGGGCGAACATTACTCATATATAGGATATATAAGTATATATCATATATAGGCAAATATGTATGTATATCTATTCGGTTAACTAGGGAGATATGATTATTATTGTTTATTTATAACATTAACTTATCAGTAGATAACTAAGATAATATTACACCTTGAATATTTGTTTTTTTTTTTTTTTTTTTTTTTTTGTTATATTTTTATTTTATTTATATGCCCACCTCATTCGATTTAGCTGCAGCAGCTCCTCCAAGCTGGCGCTTCTTTTTCTGTGATGCACGCGAATTAATGGAACCATCGTAACTAATTGCAAATTTGCCTATGTGAAACCTAAAAGCCCAAACCAAACTGACCGACGGACAGACACAAGAACAGGCGGCACAACTGTTTTAGTTAGGGGACCACTATATAAACATATATATATATATATATATGTATATATATATAGGTACCATACACATAGGCGACAAGTGGAATAAAAATCAAAGAATTTGCCATTATTTACAGCGTTTGAAATGCTTGTAAATTAGTCAGCAAAGGTATTAAAGCTGAAAAGGGGAATAGTAACGCATAAAATATTGAGCACAAAGAGCCAAACCGATGAGCGATACCTGATTTAATACATATAAACTGTTACAGTTAATTCAATTTACTAGTATAATACAAGGATTTGAAGTACAGTGATCAGAAAAAGCACCAAGTAGTATTAAAAAGCAACCATTTGAGCGATATGTGTTTTTGTAGTAAGAGTTTCGAGTTAACGAAAATTTAATATATTGCAGTATTAAATAATTTGTAAGTAAAGTTAAAGTTAAAGCTCAAGTCAAAAAAAATTCCCCGGTAGGGCTCGAACTCGCGACAGACCGCACCACTTGCTTTGCCTTTACCCAACAGCCATAGCAATAATTGTGTATTGAGAAAAAAAAAACGAATTAAAATAGTAGCACAGAAAACAATCGCAATTGCAATGCTGTTGATAGAATTCGAAGCAGACGCGCATGTGTGTGTGTGTACATGTATACAGAAATTCTTACAATTTCGCTAGCTGCCCCATCCAATTGCGCAGTAAAATATAACTTTGGTTTTTTCTTAACCGATCTTAATGAAATTTTGTACAGTATATCTTATTGTACTATAGAATATTTGTGTATTCTTAAAAAGTCAATTGCATTAATTGTGGCTTAAATTAGTGGGCAATATAAGTTGGGTTATTAGCTTGATTTATAGCTGTGTGGTGGTAGCGGGGAGGTGGCGATAGGAATAAAATGAAAGATACTTGATATATATATAATACCCAAGAAGCAACATATCAAGTTTGGTAACTCTAGCTCTAAAGAACATGATGTCGATATCGATTTTTATCGATTGCTTGGAAACGGAGTAAGTTATCGATTATCGGAAACAAACTCGATCTGCGCAATCACTAGGAGGACTCAGCTTAAATTTCTAGCTCTAGCTCTTATAGGTTCTGATATCCCTGCGTTCATGCATACGGACAGGCGGACGGACAGACAGACGGACATGGCTACATCAACTCGGCTATTGATGCTGATCAAGAATATATATACTTTATGGGGTATGAGATGCTTCCTTCTGCCTGTTACATACATTTACATTTGCACAAAATCATTATACCCTTTATACCCATTTTCAATGGGTTCAGGGTATAAAAAGGAAGCGCGAGTCTGGCCATGCGACCTCTTATACGTTACTCTTAAAATTGGACACCGGAAGCTCCAACTCAAATTCTAGCTGTCGCCTAAGCTCACGTTGCAGCTTGAGCTTGAGTTGCTAATGACAGGCGACTAACTAATTGAGGCAACTGTGTGTGTAACTGGCTTTCAGTGCCCAATGAATGCTTAATTGCAAAACAAAAAGCGAGTAAACGAGCGCAAAAAAGGCGAACAAACAAAAGTGCAAATGCAGCCGCTGCAGGGCAAAAAGAAAGTCACTGCGACACAATTCTGATGGTAATGGCGAAGCTGGCGAGGTCGTGTTGTTACTATTCTTATCAGAAATAAATATTTCATGGCTTTAGTTAGACCAAGTAAATGTGAAGGTTTCATTGAGTAATATAAATACACATACACATACATACGTCACAGAAGCGGCGGCCCACCCACCAAAAGCGCTGGCTTTGCTCTTGGCTGCCATTTTGCCTACGCGCTCCAAAAACAAGTGTCACTGTGTGCTACTATGGCGGCTGTGATTGCTTGTCTATGAGTGTGTGCGTACAATACTGAGCAATTGTTATTATTAACAGCACAGCACCCTCAGCCGCCTCCCCCTCTCCTCCCTCACTAACTTCACACATGCACGTCCACTTTTTGCTTACCTTTCGGTCTGCTTCTTCTCGTTGATTGCCGTTGTTTGTTGGTACTGAATTGTTTCCGTGGAATGCGCAATAGTTGTTTTCACGTTAACTTTTTATGCTTTCTTACGTTTTTAGTTTCGTTTTACACACACACACACTGCGCCCGCACAAATGTGTTGCATTTATTGTGTTGGTGGAAACACTGTTTTCCAATTAGATATTTGTTTATTTCCTACATAAACTGGAAAGGGAAAGGTAGCCATCGAAATAAGAGTTGCTTTTGTTCTTCCATTTGGTTAATTGGCTACGTTAATATACTTCTACAATTCGTTTAACCACACCGTTTGGTTTGGCACACAATTATGTGTTAATTTGGCAAATTTTTGACAAAAATATATCTCTTTCGTGGAGCTGCGTGTTGCGCGATGTGAGGAGCCGAGCAATAATAGATGACATATCGTTCGCCTTTGTGCGAGCGCAGCATTGCATAAATATCGATAGTGCGATAAGTGTCAGGTGTCGATTTTAACAGGATTATGTTATGGGTTAACAGACCTTTTCCGCGCGCATTATTGTTGCCAACATGGAAAATGAGTTTAATAGTTAATTATTTTAATAGATGTGCACGTTCCATTTGGGCAGCTGTGGCGTTTCCATTATGTGTTCACTCAGCATAAAATGCGCCAAATAACACAGCAGCAGTAACAAAAACGGTAATGCTTGTACAAAACTAAAATGGAGAAAGCCAACCAAATCCTCCCACCAGATGTATCCAGGGCGCACATGAAAAAGGAAAACAAGCGCCATGACATTGCACATGATGAGCAGTCTGCGGAAGATTTCTTGTCGATATGGCCAAGCAATCTCGCAATTGGCACAAATGATGCAGAGCAGTAGTAGAATCGGCAAAAGGAGCTTCAGAGCAATCAGGGCTCCATTGACCAGCATCGAGTAGCAACCAAAGTTCGCGAAACGCATATAGAAGCGAAATCTGTCCACTGCCTTTATGTTTCCAATAACAAACAAGGAGTAGCAGCTATAAAGCAGCATGTACATTGCCAGGGTGATATTCCGCCTGATTCCAGCGCCGTGCTTCTGTTTAAGGCGCAGCGCCAGCTGAAGTTCCATAGCCAGCAGCTGTATGACTAAGGACTCGTAAGATGTACAAATCAGTGCATACAACGTGCTCAGATTGTAGACGATGACCTCGAGGCCTTGTTGTCGATAATACGGATAAAAGACATAGCATGCATACGCACGGGCGATCAGGTGCAACATCCGCGCCTGCGAACTAAACAGGACGTGTAGCGCAGCCGTGAGCAGCACGAGGCCATTACAAATCAACGAACGTTTGTGCACGGCCGAGGACCAGTGCAGCGAGCGACAGACAAGGGGACGTACAAAGGTAATCAGCAGACTAACCAAAAGCCAATTGCGTTGCCAATAGCCCAGCGCCGGCGGCAGCCAGGATAACGCTGTTAGCGCGCAGACGTACAAAAACCAGAGGTAAGCGCTGCGGGAGCGCTGCACAAGTGCACTGCGATTGTGGTAGCAGGCGAAGCCTAGGTAAATGAGCGCTATGAAGCGGCGAAAAAAGAAGCCAACGACGCAGCAAAGCGCCAACAGCATGGATAGCAGCTGGTGCCTGGTCAGGCGACACTCCACGTTAGTTTCCATCGCCCGCGTCCAGAGCAGGGGAGGCAGAAGCAGCAAGCCACTCGTGAGCCAGGGCACACGCTGCAGCAGCACAAACAGAAGCAGCAGAAGCAGGACCAGATGCAAAAACGCCCTGCACAGCAGCAGCTGCAGACTGCCCCAATTGGCTGTCGGCACGCCGCACAAATGCAGCAACCAGCCCAAAAAAGCACATGCGCTGGCATGAAGCAATCCACGGCGATAATAATGTACATAGTAATCGATGCACTGTAGCACCGTGGGCATAAGATTGCCGCTGTACTCCGTCAGCGTGAGGAAGCGTTGCTGGCGCCACAACAAATTGGCGTTGTTCAGGAATGACTTTAGCAGCTGTTCGCTTAGCCAATGTCTGGGCATCAGGTTGGACAGGAGACCACGACTATGTTGGCGCAAGACGCACTGCGCCTGGTTGAGCAACTGCTGCGCATTGTTGTATGTGGCGTGTGCCTCATGCATGCTGTCATTTAGCAGACCCGCGGACAGCTGACCACGATTGTGTACGGGCGTCGGCAGACCTAGTAAGCCGCTCATTAGCGGTGTCAGCTGTATAGACTCGAGGATGTGCAGCGGCAGGCGTTGACCCAGCTCGTTGGCAACAAAGCTGCGACCTGGACCGGCACTGATATGGGCTACACCGGCGCCCCAAAGTATAAATGGTGTCTCCAGTTCCTGATTGCTGCTGCCATTGCTATAACCTGTAATAGAGTGCGGCTTGATCGTATTGGCCCTATTGCATCTGTTGACTGGTAGCTCACCATTCTCTGGTCTGCCATGATCGGACGTCAGTAAATAAGCAGTGCGTTGATCCGGAAATGCATGTTCAAATCGCTGATATATGGTCCAAATCCGACGTTGCGTATAGTTAAGCTGTTCCTGGTACATACGGAATCCAGTTGCCTCCCGCAGGCTCAACAGCTGCACAAAGAACACCACACCCTGGAGCTGCTCCAGCTGGGACGCCTTCTTTCGCAGAAAACTTCGAACTGCTTGAAATGCCCACTCGTCCAGTTTGTAAGAGCTAATGCCCAGGCCCGGTATATCCGGTGGATGCGTGTACACTTCATGCACAGCTTGAAAATGTTGCAGCAGCTCCGCAGAGCCCCAGGCAAAGCTGCGTGTGCTTCGATTGAAGATGGTGTCTAAGGTGATGCCTTGCAGTCCAGCCAGATGATCCTCGTAACGACCCGAGAAGAGCGTGAGATGCGCCGATCTGCATTTGCTGGCCACACGCACACGATTTATGCCCACCTGGCCTTGATGCAGAAAGATCTTCTTCAGCTGAGGAACATTACGGCAGCGTTGTTCAAAGAACACCTTGGCGCTGAGGTCATCGATGACGAAGACCACCAGGCGATCGGCGGGCGCATATTTCAGCAATGTCTTTTGTGGCTCTAAGCCCGTAAGGATCGTGGACTGAAAGTAGATGACGTACACGGAGCTCAGCAGTAGCAGCTGCACAACGAATGCATGCCCGTACGTAATCAGCATTTCGAAAAGATTGTGTTTTATATTTCTTTGAGTTGTCAAGAGCTAATATGTCAGTAGGAATAAGCAGAAATAATAGGCTAGACCTAGGGAATACTTTCATAATCAATCAGTCAACAAGCTGGCGTGAAAGGCGCTCATATTTTGAAGGAAAATGTTGCTCTGTATACTTTTGGTTTCTTCTTAGTCACATTTTAGCTTCTTAGATCTAACAAAACTTAACTAGTGGTATTTTTATTTACATTGGAAAGAACACATATTCTCCCGACTTAACTCAGTAAAAATGATAGATCTTATGTAAAAACGAGAATGAAGGGCTATTTTTGGCATGCCGAAGATCTAATACCCTTGCAGACCCACCCTTTTCATAATGCTCATAATGCTTTGCCCGTATCTAAGAAGTACCGGGAAAATAGTAAATTCCGAGTTTGGTCAAGATATCTTGATAACCAAAAATGGGTTTTGATCAAAAACCTGGTCCGTGGTCCGATCTTAATAGGATTTTGCATATATATGAGGATCATAGTAAAACTAATAAAAGCCGAGTTTGGTCAAGATACAATTAAAGTTTCGACCGATCGTTCCTATGGCAGCTATATGATATAGTGGTCCGATCCAGCTGGTTTTGACATATGTGCTGCATGCAACAGAAAAAGGGACTTCTGCAAAGTTTCATTAAGATAGCTTTAAAACTGAGAGACTAGTTCGCATAAAACAAGACAGACGGACATGGCTATTTTGACTCTTCTGTTGATGCTGATCAAGAATATATATTCTTTATGGGATCGGAGATGTCTCCTTCTATGCGTTACACATTAGAGACTTAGAGACCTACAAAGAGACCTACAAAGATAGAAAAGATCTTAAAGATTATTGTTCTATAAAATTCTTTAATTTTTTAAATTTTGTTGTTCACTAATATAATTTTGTTTAGTTTATTTTCAGAGAAGTTTTTTCATTCTCTTTACTTAGACAGACATGAGAATGTTAGCTTTAAGTACCGAACGTTCGCACAATAAAAAAGTTATTTAAACAAGAAATTTTCTAAAGAGGAGCTGCGAACAGCTGACACCCTGTGTATGTATTTAGGGTATTTCTATGTCGGTCACACTCCCCTAGAGAACTCTAACTTGATTTGTTTTGTATCCTTGAAATTTCTTGAAAGAAAGCAAGCTTTGATCTTTTGCCTACGGCAAGAATTCAACTAATATACTCAATCATTGATAGGTCACCTCTGTAAAAGTACTGTTTTATTTATTGTTTTTTCAAGAATGTGGAAACTTTTGGCCCTGTTGGTGCATATATTGCTGCTCGGATTTTTGACTCTGATTTATTACAAAACATCGATAATCAATGGCATGCGACCGCAGGCTGGGCATCGTGAGTTGGGCTTGGAGCCGCCAGCAGATCGTCTGGTTGTATTCCTTGTCGATGGATTGCGTGCCGAATCATTGTTCCGGAACAATTTAAGTGCCGTGCCGCAGCTGAAGAATATGTTTTTGGAGCGGGGCCTGATGGGAATATCGCGTGGCAGTGCTCCAACCGAGACGCGTCCAGGCCATATTGCCATCTTCGGTGGCTTCGACGAGGATGCTGCCTCGGCCATGACGAACTTTAAAAGCAATCCCACGGTCTTCGATACGGTGCTTAATCGCACGGCGGGCGCCACGTGGGCCTGGGGCGCCAAATCTGTGCTGCAGTTTTTTAAGCTTTTACCCGACGGTGGAGTGCCAATAAATTTAGATATGCACACCCCATTAGATTTTACAGAAAGCTATCAACGTCATCAGTGGATCTACGATAAGGTGCGTAAATTGCTAGATAACCTGGACTCTGAGGCTGCTGGAAATAAGTTGCCTGCGGTTTTCCTTGTGGACTTTGAGAATGTTCATAGCGTTGGCAATGAGTCAAAGATAAATAGCAAGGAGTTTTTAAAGGCTATCGACAATGCAGAGACCGTTGCTAAGCTATACGATTTATTTGAGCACATCTTTGAGGACAGCCGTACGGTATACCTTCTGACATCCGATCATGGCATGACCGACAAAGGTAGGTTCTCGTATTTTACTAATTTAACTATGCGTTTTAAGTTTCTTAACTTATGCTCGATGGTTTGGTTAGATACATTTTTTTTTGCACATATTAAGAAACTGAGTTCGTCAAAGTTCATGCTTACAAAGAACATGTTAAAATGCCAGCCAATATTGCTTGCTTAACATCAACCGCGCTTGCAAATTTCAGGTTAACTTTACAATTAATATGTAAAAATGCTGAAACTATTATTGCTTGCAACATTCAACAGCATATAACCTTACAACGAACCTGTTACATTCATTTATCGTGCTTGCAATTTTTACCTAACAGTTACACTCTGTAAAAGTTTATCTTAACTTTAGAATGGACATGAGAAAATATCTCCTATAAATATGTCGCGCCTGTAGGTACTCACAGCGGCGACAGTCAGTTTGATATAGAGACGCCCTTCGTCTTTTGGGGCGCTGGCATCAAACGTGTGGAGTCTCCCATTAGAGGAGTTCAGTCGATCAACAGCGATGCCTTTCCGATGCAATTGCAGAAAGTGCAGCAAACACAGCTGGCGCCGTTGATGTCCGCCCTGATTGGATTACCGCCGCCGATGAATAATCGTGCCATGTTGCCGCTGGGCCTGATGAATGTGAGCGTAAAGTACGAGGCGTATTCAATGCATCTGAATACAATGCAAGTGCTGGCGCAGGCGGAGCGGGTGCTCGAACTGAAGCAGCGTAGTCAGATCTACAACTGGTTGCCTAGATTTGAGCGCCTCGATCGACGACGCATACAACAATATAAGGAGCAATTCCACAGGCAGATGCAATTGGGCTGCGGCAATGATGCGATGTTATGCAGCCAGGAAATGATACATTTGGCATTGGAATGCATTGAATATCATAGGGTATACTATCGCATACCCGTGGTGGTGGCTTGCCTGGCAACCTATCTGGGCTGGTTCTACTATTTGCTGGCCAAGCAGACTCGCTCCATGAGTGCGCCCAAACAGCATTGGCTTAATGCAACCAATATAATGCTTCTGCTGCTGGAGATTGTGGTGTTGCTCGCCTGCTACTTGGATCGGGTGCCCTGCTGCATCAGCTTCTATTTGCTGGTGCCGCTGCCTGTTTGGATGTTTGCGTTGCAGGAGCGTGGCATGAACAGCGGCTGCGTGCGTGCGCCGATCATTCAGCTGGCTTGGATTGGCGGCACTGTGGTGCTGCTGATTGCTACTTATTTCTTTAAGCAGCTCATCTCGCTGGGCTTTTTGATTGTGGTCTGTGCGAACAACGGACGCGCCTTTACCCGTGCGCCCAGGCTACGCTTTTGGTTGTGGCTGGCGCTGGTCGCCCTGTTGACTGGGTTTACGGTGAAGCGTCCCGATTTTGGACACAACAGTCCGTATTTACTGTGCCTGAGCATGCTGGTGACAATGCTGCGACCACTGTTGCTGAGCGAGCGGCACGCGTGTCGCGTTTGGCTGATTAATGGCGCGGCCTTGCTGCTGGGCGCTTACCTGGTGCATCAGCGCCTCTGCAAAAAGGAGCTCGCTCCAGTGCTGCAGGGCACTGCCTGGGGCTATGTATTCTATGCCCTAATCTCTATACCCTATAGTGATACGAAGACGCCACGGCATCGTGTGCAGCTGATACTCTTTAATTTGAGCACAATATACACATTGATGAGCCTCTCGTACGAGTCCATGTTCATGCAATTGCTGTGCACAGAGTTCTTGCTGGGTGTGCAAGTGCACGAGGATTATAAGCAATCGGCGGTTGAGGACAGCGAAGATGACGATGAGCAGACACCGGACAAATCGTTGACGCCCGAGGGACACATAAACAGAAGCTACCGCTATGCTGTGCTTATTCTGATATATGCCTATTTCTCTATGATAGGCACTGGAGTTCTGCCGAATATAAATTCGCTTGATGCGAGCGTTGCGCGCATCTTTGTCAGCGAGTGCTCCATAATTTTAATTGGCTTCATCTACGTTCTGAAGCTAATGATACCCATTATTATCATCATGTCCAGCATGTATGCCTTTTGCGCTCATGCCCGTCAGAATCTCTGTGGCATATTTATCTGTATCTTCCTCATCTGTGATGTCTTGTGTCTATACTTCTTCTTCTTTGTCCGTAACAGTGGCTCCTGGCGCAACGTACGCGAGTCCCTCTCCCAGCAGTTAATTGTGCATGGCCTGCCCATGCTGTTGGCAATATTCTCATGGCTACCCAAGCAACTGCTGAGCGCCATACCATTAACGATGCTGCCCATGCTGCGCTGGAAAAGCGCTATACATTTGGAACAGCCAGGTCAAAGCCAGGCATAAAAATCGGTTTCATCCCTCAATTTGAATGTTTTGAAAATTTAAGTATTTATGTATTGTGAAAAATTTGCCATCGGTTCAATAATCATTAAATTGAAACATTTCATGTACTATATAAAGATTCTGGGATTTATTAATGTAATCTTGAAGCTAATACTTTAATTGGCTTATTTTGATTTTAAATGCAATGCAACAAATTGTTGATCTTAGGCAGTTTTTAGCTTCTGTGATTCCAAATGGGCCTGTAAATGGTAATTGGATGATGAAAATTACATATATGCATGTTGATATCCTAGGAATTGGTTATTTACCTTCTCCGCAACTTTTAACAGATTTTCGAAGCTGCTCTGACCCGTCTCCATGACCATACTGTGAAAGATTTTCGTCTCACATTCTGTCAGCAACTCGTAGGGTGAACCAAACTCTACCATCTGACCCGCATCCATGACTATCACCTTGTCCGAGTCCATAATTGTGTTTAGGCGATGGGCTATTGTCAGCACTGTACACTCCCTGAACTTATTCCTTATTGTCGCTTGGATGAGCGCATCTGTCTGTGGATCCACATTAGCTGTGGCCTCGTCCATCACCAGGATACGATTTTCGCGAAGAATAGCGCGTGCCAGACACACCAATTGCCTCTGTCCCACACTGAAATTGCTTCCGCCCTCTGAAATCTTGCTTTGTAGTCCACTTGGAAGCTCGCTGATGACAGGCTTCAGTTTGACCTCCTCGAGTGCATCCCACAGCTTAGCATCGCTGTATTCCTCGAATGGATCCAGATTGTAGCGCATGCTGCCGGTAAAGAGCACCGGCTCCTGAGGTATGATGGAAATTTTGCTGCGCAGGTCGTGAAGTCCCAGTTCGTTGGTGTCACGACTGTCGATGATGATGGAGCCTTCGTTGTAGGAGAGGCGGAAAAGAGCGTTGATGAGCGAGGACTTGCCTGCACCGGTGCGACCCACAATACCCACTTTTTCCATGGGTTTGATCTCGAAGTTGAGAGACTTAAGTACATACTTGGATTGTGGATCGGGGAAATACCGAAGACTGAGATCGTCAGCTACAATTTTGCCCTGCTCTGGCCATTCGACCGGTGGCTTTTTGCTTGGTTGGGATTCAAACTCGCCTTCTGGCTCAATTTCATCATATTCCAGGATGCGCTCAACTGCAGTCATTGTGGTGTCCAATTCGGCGGATTGTGTCATGCCATACTGCACCATGCCCGCCAAGCTCATGGCCTGGGTAATGGCCAGCCCAACCTCACCAGGCTGGGTGGGAGGATTAATAAAGTAGTTAAGTACAATGATGATAGTGTATAAGGTGCAAAAGAAGTCCACATAGTAGCCAAAGGCACGACTCGTGGACAGAAATGTGTAGTAGCCGGAGCTATGCAGATCCTGGAGATTATCGAACTCGGCAATAAGCGCCTTCTGTGCTCCTAAAGCCCTGATAGTGGTCAGTCCATTAAGTGAGGTGCTAAGATGGGAATAGATGGGAGATCTGGCAACTGCCTCCAAACGCTTCACGTCTCTCGAGGTCTTAAGGTAGAATTCTCTGATATAATAGAAAATAATACCCAGCACAAACGTCAGTAACAAATAATAGGGATTGGTTATGCAGATGACTACAAGGACGCCAGCCAATAAGAGAAAGATTTGCACAACATCCAGCATAATGGTTGGCAAGACTTCATCAAGTTGTCCAAGATCCTTTGAGAAGCGATTTAATATACGACCAGACGGATTTGTGTTAAAGAAGTACATGGCTGCTCTGGCTATACCACGGAACATGGAATTATGCAGCTCTGTGGAGCTGCGCCTCGCCATCGAATAGAAGATTATTGGACGCATTACGCTGAGCACAATTGCAGCCACATTAAGCGCTGTGAAGTAGTACATGTCGACGGGGTCGTATGCCGAATCTGCGTTGTTCTTATTTTTGTCAACCCTGGGGTAAGAAAAATATTGTTATTCTAAGAGTACTTCAATAACATCAGCGAGACGTACCAGTAGGAGAGAAACACATCTGCTGCTGAGGTCACGACTTGTGTACCCACACATAGAACGATCATAAAAGTTATCAGGAACAAGCCACTGCCTGCTGCAAAGTATTCCTTATAGAGACCTACGCTGACTTTGCCCTCTACGCGTGTCTCCTGCGGGACCATGGCCGTGTCCTGAATGACCGAATCAGCCAGGGAGCTCAAGGAAGCAAAACTCTCATTGCGTGAAGCCTGACGGCTAGTTTTTGAGTGCAGGCTAACACGATCCCCAGCATCGCTCTTTTGGTCTTCCAGTGCCTTCTCATCTGCCTGGTTGATATCGGTCAAGAGCTGTGCAAAGTCCAAGCCACTGTGTTGCATCGTTGCATAGGTTCCCATTGCACTGATTTTGCCTTTGTCCATGATAACAATGAGGTCGGCATGCTCCAGAAACTGCAGCTGATGTGTTACCAATATGACGAGCTCGTTTTTCAGATAGCCTCTCATGCACTGGTCAAACAGATGACGACCCACGTGCGTATCCACAGCACTGAGTGGATCATCCAGCAGGTAAATGTCCGCCCTTCGATACACAGATCGTGCCAGACTAATGCGTGCCTTCTGTCCACCCGAAAGAGAAGCTCCTCGCTCGCCAACAATCGTCTTATCACCCTGCGGAAGTAGCTCGAAGTCGCGTTCTAAAGCACACTTCTTGATGACTGTGCGATAGCGATTCTTGTCCAGGGTTAATCCAAACAATATGTTCTCACGGACAGTTCCAGTGAAGAGCCAAGGCTCCTGAGCTGCATAGGAGTAACTGCCGTTGACTTTAAGGCTACCTTTTTCACCAGCCAGCTCGCCGAGAATGGATTGTATCAGACTGGATTTGCTTGCGCCGACGGGTCCAATCACCGCGACTAGCTGTCGGCGACCCAATTTCAGATTTATATTGTCCAGGGTGTTCTCTGTCGCGTTGGTGTCCCACTTGGCAGAGAACTGGCTGAACTCCACGAGCGTCTCCTCCATTACTCTGCCATTACTTTTTGCCTCAACTCCATTGTCATTGTTGCTCAGTGTTCCATTTTTCTTATCGCGTATCTCGTTAGTAGAGCTAGGCACAGTTATTGCATTCGACTTGTCTTGCACCTGAGTCTCCTCCCTTAGCATAAAGGTTTCCAGACGCTTAATGGAAACCGTTATCTCTGCTAGTTGCGTAATGCTAAGCGGAAAGAAATTGGTGACCGCTCGCTGCAGCAGATTGTAGTAGGCCGTTATGAAGAAGGCCTCGCCGGCAGTCAACACGTTTCCTAGCAGCACAAACCCCACCAGGCTGACAAACGTAAGGGTACGCGACAGGCACATGCCAAAGGCAATTAGAACTCCGCGTATATAATTGACTTTTTTGATACAGATCATCTCCTTGCGTCGCATGAACTGGATTAGCTTGCCGAGTGGCTTTTCCCATGCGTACATCTTGATCACCTGGATGCCGGAAATAAATTCGTTCATCATTCGCACGCGCTCGTCCGTGCGTAATGCTGTCAGGAGGCGCAACGCAGATGTTTTCTTTGCTAAATAGGCTTGCAGAGGCAGGAACAGCAACATCACAGCGACGCCAAAGAAGGAGGCAACTCCGATCTATAGGTTTAATCACATAAATAGATAATTCTAAATACGACCACATTAAGTTACCTTTTGATACATAAAGAATGTAACCACAAATAATTCCAGTGGAGCCAGCCATAAGAAGTGAACATTGAGGAGAATCATATCAAAGCGTCCCACATCGTTGGAAAGCAGATTCACAACCTGACCTATCGATGTATCCCCCAGAGCTGTATGGCTCAGGCGCAGCGCCTTCCTATAAACTAGACTGCACAGTGAAACGCGCATTTTCATCCCCAAATGGAGCAGGCCGAGCAGAAACGGATGTCCAGTAACGACGGAGAGGACAGAGGCAATCATGAGGCCTGCTGCGTATAGCTGTGCCTTTATGGGGTCAGGATCTTCGCCCGAAAAGTATTGCATTATACCATACAGGCACATGGGCTGCGTTACCCTAAAACAAGACTCTCATTAATATATCTATTTGGTTTCCAAAGGACCGGATTGCGGTGTACTTACTTTACTATGAACTCTCTGACACCAAGCAGTAACCCAGTTAGAAACAGATGCCAACCAAACACGCGCAGCACAACCCGCCCCAAGCGTGGCTGTTTCTGCTGGGCCGATCTCTTAATTATTTCCTCATCCCAAGCCGCGCACAGGCGGTCGCCAAGTACATCTGTGAAAAGGGAGCATATATATATATATGTATGTGATGGATTCCAGGATATCACTCGTAACTGCGAATATGTCTATTTTCATTCTCGATCTTCCTGAGACTGTCTTCTTTTTCTAACATACTTGAAATATTGTAAGCCAATCGATAGTATCGCAACGGACGATAGCACAATGGAGTTAATTTGTTATCGGACTAAAATGAACTAAATTTGGAGATACAATGCAACAACAACTAGTTTCATTTTAAAAATCTAAACGTTTCTTGTTCTCATACGGTTTGAAAGAATTTAAGGTAAATGCCAGTCATTGAATGTTATAAATTTCATTTATCTTTATCTTAACACCTTATTTATTATCTTATGGCATGCCTTACCTGATTTGTGCTCTTTAAGCGGCCGGTATAGATCTGGTTGCTCCAGAGTTTTCGTACGGCCCTTGAATAATACCGGAAAGACAAAGCTTTACGATGCCATGATGCACGCATAAATAAAGATAAAGTTAATATTATATGGTGTCAAGTAGAAAAAAACATATTTAAATTTGATGGAGGCCAAGCAACTAACTACAAAAGATAACTTATATATTTTATATAATATACAAAATGTGTGTTGTATTCATAGTTAACGAAAATATGTGCCAATCACATCGCAGTTTGTGCACAATATCAGTGCAGAAAATCAAAAGTTTTATATATGTATGTACATACATCAATCATATATGAGTACAGGGTATCTGAATGTGGACTATATTTGCAGATTCACACTTACGTGCAGTTGTTTTATGTTGTATTTACATACTAGATACCTCAACATTTTACTACAACACTTATTTGTATATTTTAACACTCTGAAAGATAAGATAATGGTATATCATGCTCAATCATATTGTTCTGTTAATGATTAAATGATATTCGGTGGGTCCAAAAAATGTATTGTCATAATTGTCAATATTATATCTAACGCCACAAAAATCACTAGGCTGGTGAAATTGCAGACTCACCAGAGCATAAGTTCCGAAAATGGGTTGCTCCGTTCGCGCGGATTTTCTGGTAGCTCATCTGCTTTAACTGATTGCATATTGGTTTTGTCTTATTTATTTACGCCGACAAGTAAACCAAATACACTTTACACTTGTGTACAAGCCTATAAGTGTTGAATTACAACAAATCACACATTTAATTATTCGCTTCGATATTCTTTGTATATGTATATATATTTATATAGTTTATATACCCTTGTTTTGATTTGATTTTCTCAGCACTCGAGGTTTGGTGCGTGTGCAACTCAGTTCTGTGGAATTTGCTTTTTAAAATTACGAAAATATTCCACTGTGCAGGTTGTTTGTGCCAGAGATGGTGCCGCTATATGATAGACGATTTTAATATAATTAGTAAATCTGAAGAACTCTACGAAACTAACACACTTCTTATACATATAATGAATTATATCACGCAAAACATTTTTCAGATAACTGTATACATATGTATATTTAATTATTTTTTAAGACACTATTTATCGAATTTCTCCGGTCTCTATTCACGCACAGCTGTTCACTCTCCGGCTGACGAACACGTTCTAAATCACAGCTGACAAGCTGGTCCCTTTTATGGGAACAGACAACTGTTGCGGACGCTTTTTGCTCTCTGCGACTTTTACTCTCTTGTACGCGTGTGCTTTTATTGCGCGCTTTCCAGTTTATGTAAAACGTATCATTTAATTCATTCTCTTATTAGCTGGCTGATAAGATAATCTAATAAAATTAAGATGAACATACAATTTTCTATGTAAATACATTTTTAATTTGCATACTCAGTTTTTGCGTATGCCACTTTGAACTGCTTTGCTAGTTATTTTGTGTATATTTTATTGAACTGCTTTGTTGTAGCGTGGTTAGGAAATCAGAATACTGAAATAAATTTGTCAATACTCGGACATACAAAATGCACTTTATAGTATTTTTTAATTAAACATTTCAATTCTTTCTAAGAAGTTCTTAGATTCTGTGATGCCAAATGTGTCTGTTAAAGTAATTAAAAAATTACCTTTTTGAATATTGACGCTCGTAAAGTGGATAACTTACCTTCTTCGCAACTTTTAGCAGACTTCCGAAACTACTCTGACCCGTCTCCATGACCATACTGTGAAAGATTTTCGTCATTCTGTCAGCAACTCGTAGGGTGAGACAAATTCCACCATTTGGCCAGTATCCATAACTAAGACCTTGTCCGAGTCCATAATCGTGTTTAGGCGATGAGCTATCGTCAGCACTGTGCACTCCCTGAAGTTATTCCTTATTGTCGCCTGAATAAGCGCATCTGTCTGTGGATCCACATTGGCTGTGGCTTCGTCCATTACCAGGATACGATTCTCGCGAAGAATAGCGCGAGCCAGACACACCAACTGACGTTGACCCACACTAAAGTTGGTGCCGCCCTCTGAAATCTTCCTCTGTAGTCCACTTGGAAGCTCGCTGATGACAGGATTCAGCTGAAAGGAACACCATAAAATATATCATTTTTGCTCGAAGTATTCCTTGCTGTGAAGTATTCCTTGTATAGACCCAGACTGATCTTGCCCTCGACACTCGTCTCTTGCGGTGCCATGGCTGCGTCCTGGGCAATAGAATCGGTAAGGGAGCTCAAGGAGCTGAAACTTTCATTGCGCGAAGGTTGGTTTGATTTGAGGCCAAGCTCAGACGGTCCCAAATATCACCAGCCTCGCTCTCATGATCATTGGCTGCTTCATCGGTCTTGTTGGGATCCGTTAAGAGCTGTGCAAAGTCCAGTCCACTGCGCCGCATTGTGGTATAGGTTCCCATTGCACTGATTTTGCCTTTGTCCATGATAATAAGGAGGTCGGCATGCTCCAGAAACTGCAGCTGATGTGTTACCAATATGACCAGCTCGCTTTTTAGATACCCTCTCATGCACTGGTCAAACAGATGACGACCCACGTGCGTATCCACAGCACTGAGTGGATCATCCAGCAGGTAAATGTCCGCCCTACGATACACAGCTCTTGCCAGGCTAATGCGCGCCTTCTGTCCGCCCGAAAGAGAAGCGCCCCTTTCACCAACGATCGTCTTATCTCCCTGCGGAAGAAGTTCAAAGTCGCGTTCTAAAGCACACTTCTTAACCACTGTGCGATAGCGATGATTGACCAATATTAACCCAAACAGTTCCAGTGAAGAGCCAAGGTTCTTGAGCGGCATAGGAGAATTTGCCATTGACTTCAAGGCTACCTTTTTCACCGACTTCGAATTTCAAATTGATATTGTCCACGGTGTTCTCTGTCGAGCTGGTGTCCCACTTAGTATGAAATTGACTGAATTCGACAAGGGATTCTTCACTACTTTTGTTTCGTCTAGCCATCCTTGAGCTGCGTTTCCTCCCCATTCATAAATGTCTCGATTCGTTTAATGCTTATTTGAAGCTCCATTGATTAAGAAATGCTAATCGGAATGAAACTGGTTACTGTTCACAGCAGTAAGCTATAGTAGGCGGTGATAAAGAAGGCCTATCCAACAGGCTGACAAAGGAACATCATTTCATTGCAACGCGTAAGCTCCACAAGTTTAACAAATGGCTTCTCCCACTCCTACATCTTGATCATTTGGATGGCCGATAAGATGTCGTTCATCATTCGGATGCACTCGTCCGTGCGCAGAGCCGTGAGCAGGCGCAACGTTGCGGTCCTTCGTGCCAGGAAAGGGCATGTAAAGCAGCATCAGAGTTACGCCAAAGAAGCAGGCGGCGTTAATTTGCAGTGGGACATTAGTAGGAAGTTATTGTAAATAATCTTAGTTCAATCTTCAGTTTACCTTTTCAAACATAAAATAGGTTACTATTAAGGGGGCCTAGCCATTAAAAATGTATATTGGACAGGACACAATCGAAACATTTCATATCGTTGGACAGCAGATTCAACACCTGGCCTATCGATGTATCACCCAAAGCTGTATGACTCAAACTCAATGCCTTCCGATAGAACATGCTGCACAGAGCTACGCGCAGATGCCCAGCATACAGGGATGTCCTGTGACCACGGAGAATACAGAAGCTGATATAAGGGCCACCGCGTATAACTAGCCCTTAATTGGATCAGAATTCTTGCCCGAAAAGTAGACCATAACACCAAAGAGGCAAATTGGCTGGGTAACCCTAGAAGAAGTTACACTTTAAGCAATTGATCTTGGGCGTCTTGTGAACTGTCACTTACTTGGTAAGAAATTCTTTGGGGCCCAATAGCAAACCCTTTACAATAGATGCCAGCCGAAGGAGCGGACCACAACGAGCCCCAAGCGAGGTGGTTTCCTTTGAGCTGATCTCTGAAGTAGTTCCTTATCCCAAGCGGCGCTCAAGCGATCTGCAAGGACATCTGATGATTAGCTTGAAAGCTATTTACTTTAAAATTTAACTTTCAAATTTAATTTTATATAACACCCAAGTTGTGCTCTTTCAGCGGCCGATATAAATCGGATTGTTTCAGGGTCTTTTTGTGGCCCTTAAACAGCATGCGAAAGACAAAGCTGCTAGCTTTTCTTGACTCGAATAAGTAATGTAATGATATTTTGTTTCATTCATGATCTAAGCTGCAAATAAACTACACAATAATAAACGTTGTCTAATCAACAACGCGTCAAATACAAAATGTACTTCAAATACGTCACACTTTTTTAAAAAAGGTTGGTGGGAGTGTGGTCAAGTGTTGGGCTATTAAGTCTGATAAGTTATCGAAAAATAAAGACTTTGTATATAATCTGATTAGAATTAATTTGACACAACGCTGGGAAGCCTTAGCTAGCCTTGAGTCATATTTATTGAGGTGTATTACACACTTGTGTGTCGATATGGAATTTAAATAGTCAAAAACTATTATTGACTCATCAACAGACCAATTCACTGTGCACAATTGGACTCACCAGAACATGAGCTCTGACAATGGATTGATATACTCTCTCGGATTCTCCGGTAGATCAGCTCTTATGTGTGGCATTGTAAATTCTAATATAAATTAATTCACTATAGTTATTTACATACAATTATGTGTTAATTAGTTAAGTATTTATTTTAATTCTTATAATGTTACGATCACAAAACGTGGTTTTAAATCTGGGGAAATTCCACTGTGCTTTAGATGCTGAAAATATCACTGATATTACTATTGTTATGATCTCTAATCTACTTAAGTATCTAAGAGCAAACAGTTTATATTGTATTTTTACAGATAAATCTGCATTTTATAATGTATTTAAATCGTCAAATAAAAAAACAAACCTATTTTAGGATTAATTTATTTTCATTAAGAGTAAAAGTGTTTGTTCTACGGCCGCGGAATTCGTTCTAATATACAGCTAATCGATTACCGCATTTTATGTGAACTGCTTGCGGTGAGCACAGCTTTTACTCTCTCCGACGCCTTGGACTTCAACTATGAGCCTTATCGTACAACACGTCTATTGGAGTCTGAAACGCTCGACACTGTCGCATAAGATAAACGTGGCGCCTATTATTAGTAACTAAGTAGTATATATTATTAAATCTGAAAAACCTCAAAAAAGCTTGGTAAATTTATCAACTGCTTTGTGCGTTATTTAAATGTGAACTGCTTTGTTACTTCTCTCATTGACAGTTATTCTGCAATGTTATGCTCAGATGCCATTTCCACATATTGTGAAATCTGTAGCTTATAACATTTATTTAATCTTAGTTTTACTGTAGCATTACATTCTAAAGTTTGTAGAAATAATACTTTAAGTAGCACATACAAAAACAATCACTTATAAGCAGTATAATTTCTATGAGACGTATGCTCAAAGCTAGTCAATGAGAATATATTTTAATGATTTCGGAATATTCATTGGATTTTAGACAGTTTTTGATTTCTGTGATTCCATATATGCCTGAAATTTAATAAGATGTATTACCACATGGCATTTTAATCATAGGAATGACCAATTACCTTTTCAGCTACCTTTAGCAGACTATCGAAGCTGCTCTGACCCGTCTCCATGACCATACTGTGAAAGATTTTCGTCTCACATTCTGTCAACAACTCGTAGGGTGAGCCAAATTCCACCAGTTGGCCAGCATCCATAACTAAGACCTTGTCCGAGTCCATAATCGTGTTTAGCCGATGGGCTATCGTCAGCACTGTGCACTCCCTGAACTTATTCCTTATTGTCGCCTGAATAAGCGCATCTGTCTGTGGATCCACATTGGCTGTGGCTTCGTCCATTACCAGGATACGATTCTCGCGAAGAATAGCGCGAGCCAGACACACCAACTGACGC